AATTATCTTCCCCCTCGGCTTGAACCGTGTGTCTTGTGTGTGTGTGCGAGTTTTTTTTTAATGCGTCGGATGCGTAAAAAAAAAAAAAAAAAAAAGCATGTCCAAGGATCGGCCTCGAAAACTTGTGAGCAGCATCGCGTTGAAAGCTGGTTCCGATTTGAATGGGGAAAAATGCTTTTTCATTTGGGGTTATTTCATTCATTTTCCTGCACGATTGCTCGCTGGAATCTCCAAAAAAAAAAAAAAAAAAAAGCTGATGGGATCAAAGATGATCGAGCGTCGTGCACACATGCATCGCAGAGTAGTTTGTATAAATGTAAGCTCATCGAAAGAAAAATAGTCATAAATCACCTCGTAAATGTGAGTGTTGAGTGCAGTGCTTCGCTGTGAGCACATCTGGCTGCAGGGAACAAAGTTTGTGAGCAGGTTCATCCTCCCTGGTGCCCGGCAGCAGCAGCAGCAGCAGCAGCAGCTCCTCCAACTCCAAAACCCTGAGAGCTGCTAAATCCACTCTGAGGCTGGATGATTTATTTTAATCATGTGTTTAAGCTCAAAAATAAACCAAATTATCATCATGCTATTCTACGTTTAATTTCCAAAAGTCTACTGATAATAGAAATGTCAGTTTTATTTTTTGCTGCTTTATTCCTTTGTTTGCAAAATTAATAATTAAGAGTTTTTGCACATTTATCAGAAATATTATTGCATTTGCACAATTTGCACAACTCCACAGAGCACATGGTGTTGCCAGTAGGGAAAAAAAAGGTATAAAAAAAATGTTGCAGCAGGGATAAATTGTCTTTTATTGTTAATCGCAGATCCTTACTCATATTTTATCGTATGGATGCTGCTTTACATGTAGCTGATTTCATACATTTCAAATCTGCAATAGTGGGTGCAACTTTTTGGGGAAAAAAAAAAACTTGATTTAAGGTTGGTGAGGTTTTGGGGGGATTTTCCTCTTGTACTTCTTAAAGGTATTGTGATGGGAGTGAATGGAGAGCCATCCGCCCGACAACACCTCTCTGCCTGACCTTCCCTCTTATCATTTGAATAATCCAGAGCACCGAAATCCATCTGCCCCTTGTCTCCCCTCAGATTGGCTAATTCGCCAGACAGAGGCAATATGAATAGAAGAGAGAAGCAGAAGGAGAAAGTCTGTTAGAGGCAGAGAGCAGTTTGGATGTGAGACATGAATGGTGTCAGTAAAATGATTTTTTTATTTTTTTTTGAGGTGCAAAAATATATTTCCACACAGGGGAAAAATATAATTCCTTGCCCCATTATTATAGTTCAGCAAGCTAATTTGAATTTTAAATGCAAAACTTTTAAATGTCAGACTGAAATCAAGAAAAGGATTTTTTAAGGTTGTGATTATGCTGAAAATAAATGTCTGTTTCAGTGAAGTTTTTAATGTCATTTATTGCTATTTTAACATCTGAAAGCTGCTTACAGTCAGCGTGACTCATTTAGTTCAAAGAGAATTCTCTTAATGACGTGTTTTGGTTGAATCAGAATGCAATTATGGTAAAATAAAATTGCTACAAAAATAAATAAATTGAAAAAAATGTTAAAAGCTGGGGGGACAAAACTCAAAAGGCCCATAAAGGTAATTCGTAGCCTCACATGTTCATGTTCCTCCCTGTTCCTCTTCTTTTTTTTTTCTGTCTGTCTCTCCTCTGGTCTCCTTCCAACACGATTACCGCCTTCAAACACTCTTTTATGCCTGCATTGCATTTCAAGCCTGTTTTGTCCCAGCGTGGAAATGTTTTAAAAAAAAAATACAAATTTCAAGGTTTGAACTGAAAATTTCCACAAGTAGCCACAGATTGCAAAATTGCCACGTTGTTGATGAACTTGATAACACATACGAAAATAATTTAAATTTTTTTTTTTTCAAAATAAAGAAAAGATTGTATGCTTGGTGATGTCAGGGGTAGAAATAGGTTGAGGCAGATTTGAGCCAATAGGCACTTTGGAGCCTTGAGTCAATACACCGATTTAACATGCTGTGTCTATGGCGCTAAATGTGTTGATGAATAGGTGAAAAGAGTTTTTCAGCTTTTATATTTTCATTTTCTTTTTTTACTGTGTGATTGTGCCAGGAGCTGGCTGAGACAGATACTCCAGAAAATGAAAATTGTGTGATTTGAATGTTGCTGCTGCCTGTATATTCATCTGATCAGTGAACACAGACGAGTCCCTGGATGGAGGCCACGTCTCCCCCCCTCTGTATCTGTATATGAGCCTCTTCAAACCTCTCAGTTGTTGTCTAACCTCTTAATGCTTGATTGAAACTACATGCTCGAGCCACCGCAATTGCAATCAACAGCAACTGTCGTCAGGCCCAACACGGTAATCGAAAAGACCTGGGCATCGGCACAACCGCTCAAACCTTGGCTATTACGAGCTACAAGGTCAAACCACATTGTTACTGGTCTGAGGTGCAGTGTCTTGTTTTGAAAACGGTATAACAAGATGTAGCCATCCTTCAGCCGGCCCATTAGACCCCTCAGGCTAAATGTCAGAGCTCTGCCATTTTTTATTTTTTTTTCTTTTCCTTGGTGTAGATTTGATTCACTCCACCCATCAATCTTTCAATATTGCATGCAGACAATTAGGAGCCTGCTGATGTATTTGTGCACCGTTATTGATATTGCCCTTTTGCAGATGTATAGCTATTGGCATGTGTGCAGCTGGTAAAATTAGATCAAAATCTGTGGAGCACTGGCTTTCACAGAAACCCCACGTTTTTACGTCAATCGCAGAGGACAGTAAGGATGATTTATGTGAGGTAAATTGTGCTGGGAAAATGATTATTTCTCTCCCTTTTAGAACCTAAAAGCAAAAACAACTTGACAGGATTCCTATATTTTATGCAGTCAGCACAGAAAATCTTATTAGCAGCTACATTTTAGGTATCTTTAATTATCCCTCCCCATTATTGCTCCTAATTATCACTGTTATGCTCTCAAAATATTATGTATCAGGGAGGCCCACGGGGAATTTATCATTACAGTAAATGGCCACAAGTGCACCAATTATCAACACACAGGCCAATTCTTTAACCTACACTGATAAAAATCTCTCAGATGATATTACAGAGCATTAAAAAAAAAAAACAGCTCGGCTATAGCGATACAAATATACCTTCCTGTTTTAATTAGCATGCAGTGCGGGTGTGAATATTTGAAAAGGCTGTTTTGTTCAAGTGGTGCTGGATGTATGAAGGTCCAGTCTGGGCCGCCTGTGACTCCCCAGTCCTGGTAGCCATTAGCTGTGCAGCTTGGGCCAGGGCCTAATCCAGCCAAACTCAGGACCAGAGGAGCTAATTAAGCACAAGCTTTTAGTATCCCAACCTCCTGTAGCTGCACAGTGCCAGCCCACCCCATGCCAGCACTAAATGGGGTTGTAAATATCTATAGTGGGGCACAGTGTGGAGACAGCGCTGGACAGGGGCTGGTAATGGGGGTTGACTGAGCCTGAATGCATATTATAAGGCCGCTATCAGAGCTGTCTAATGAGTGGGGCCAGTCGCAGAGTGGAGGGAAAGAAGTGCAGCTAGGTGAGGAGGCGGCACTCCACGCTTTTTTTTTTTTCCTTCACTGTAAAATCAACACAAGCCTTCAGGTGAAAATTGATGCACTGCACACTTGATATGTCGGTCGCTGTAGATCAAAAACATCAATCTGGGGGAAAAGACAGAGTGGCATCCTTTAAGTGCTCTGACAGTGTGTGTTCTCCCTCTGTTTGTGTGTGTGTCCTCCAGAGGGGCAGCCTGACCCAGATCCCCGTGGTGAAGGAGACCAGGGTGGAGTCGGGCCAGTTCCTGCTGCTCTCCGTCCTCTGCATGCTCTTCATCCTGGTGGCGCTGGCAGTGTCCGCCACTTTCTTCTGCGTGCGCCAGCGCTCGCACCTCCGCATGAAGGAGAAGCTGGCCAGCCTGGGGACTGACACCAGCACCGATGCCACCGCAACCTATCAGGTTAGACCAGCCCTCACACTGGGAGCCAATCAGAGGCCGGGACACTTAGCCCGAGCTCTGCCATTGGAGGAAAAAAAAAAACACTCTGTTCGGATACGCTCGATTATCCAATTGGTTTGCGAGAGTGTGTTTGTTCATGTGTGTATACAGAGTAATTCTCCTCCACCTGCTTCTATCTGCAGTGATAATTTGCTCTATTTATTACATAAATTGTTCTTTATTTTTGCTGCACATTTACGTCACTTTAAAGCGTTTAATCCTCGAATTTTCAACTCGTTGCTTCAGCAGATATTTGCTGCGTTCATTTATTCGATGCTACCTTTCCATGATAAGTGTGTGTCTGTGTGCGAGACAGGGAGCAGGCCGCCACTGTGACCTATTCCCTCTGTTCCTCCAGGGCAACGGGCAGCCTGGGCTGTATTGATTTTCAGCATTGGGGCTCAGCTGTGCCCAGCGTGGCACTCAGAACACATTTATCTGCATGTCGCGTTAACATTTTCAATATTTAATCAGGTTTTCACAGGGCTGCTCTCAAATGCTAGAGGTGTTACTGTGATGACCACAGAGAAGATATCAAATGAAAATAGCCATAAATGCTAAATTAATCACACCTTTTTTTTCTTTCTCTCTCTCTCTAAAATTAATACATTACTATTAGCGTGTTAATGATAAAAAATAATTATAGAAACTGCCGTCATGGTTTGCTACAGTGCAAATTTTAGCTTACTGTGGTGCTGGATCTGTCTCGTCGTGCCTTTAGGATTGGGATAACTGCTCTGTCGACGTTTATGTGGGTGTGCACTACAAGCTCGACAGAGAGAGCTGTTTAGGGAGAGTGGGAGGGCATTATTGTAAGACGGCAGCACAGACTTTGTTTCCTCTTGGCCTGTCTTCGGTCTTATTAGTAGTCTGAAAGAAGGGGGTAACGGGGAGACTGTAATCCCACGACCTGTGCTCCTCTCTGGGCTCCATGTGTCTCTCCTCTGGCCCTCTCTGGCACTAACTGCATCTCCCTGCCATCTCCTGGGACAATTTCTCAGCTCCGGTACAGCGCAGCGCTTTGCAGAAATGTTGAGAAGTAGGATGAGTTATGAGGTGGACCTGGATAGTGCCCTGGGGCCAAGGCCCAGGGCACCGCTTCATGGCTCTAATCATTAAAGTCTGACGGCGGAAAAGCTGATCCAAGACCAGGGCTTAGAGGGGGCCTGTGCTCCAGAGGGAAATATCACTATGATTCATCATGAGATAGCATGTGCTTTCACAATGCATTTTCTGTGGCCTGCCCTGCCCTCGCTGTTATTAATCGAGTATGGAAATGAATTCTGTGGAAATGACTGCTTTGCCTCCCAAAATCAAACAGGATGGAGTTTACAGATTTAACACAGACATACAAAGTGCAGCCAAACCTTATGGAGGGAAGCAGACAAACTGTATAAGACCTCACAAAGCTTGCAATAAGGTTTCTTTTTTTTTTTTCCACTTTCATTTTTCCTTTCTTTTTCATTTTGTATACCAGACTAGATAATGCCTAGTCTTCAAATTTTTGATGCCCCGTTTCTGCACTGAGGCATGATGGGAGAAAAGCTGAGTCATTAGGAGGAGTGTAATCTTCGTAGCAGTGGGTCTTTTAGCAAGTCTCAGAAGGTCGGAGATATCAATCAAAATAGAAAATTATACTTTACAATTGTGGCAATGCATTTTTATCGCCTTTGCTTCTCTGTGGTTTTATACGTTTACAGTGGAGCTCCTGTTTGATTGATGGTTTGATTCTCCTATTATGTGTCTATCTTTGCAAATTCTCCTTTTTAAATATTGCAGTTTTTCGCTGTCTGTAGTAGGGCTTCACTTTACACTATGAGTGTGTGGTGACTTTGCTGTAAAAGATCCATCCTTAAACAATGAAGACAGTCGTGTGGCAGCAAGGTGTGACACACTGAATTTATTCTGTAAGTCGTGTAGGGTTCCTCAACCATGTATTTTTGGCATAATTAGTATAAGCTCCATAATCCATGAGGATAAGCCATTAATCTACACACAAGTGAGGACAGATCAAGTCATCCGAGATACAGGATTTTACAGGGTGCATTTACAGAACTCAGCCCCTAACAGCAAGGATAAGCACATAAAATACCTAAAACTATTGTCATGTGCATGAAAAGGGGATAAATACATGAAACCTTGCAAGGTGGAGGAAAAAATACCGCGTTCCTGATCATCATTTCCTGTAATCCCCAGGAGCTGTGTCGCCAGCGTATGGCGATCCGAACGTCGGAGCGCGTCGAGAGGCCGGAGACCCTGCGCCACTCCCGGCTCAACAGCGTGTCATCTCAGTTCAGCGATGGCCCCGCAGCCAGCCCATCGACCCGCAGCAGCACCTCGTCCTGGTGCGAAGAGCCCGTCCCCTCCAACATGGACATCTCCACCGGTCACATGATACTGGTGAGGAACTTGCTTTGACTCCAGAAACGATGCGAGTTAATGATTTATGCGGTGGAAAATAAAAGTGCCAGGGGAGGAGTGAGGGTGAATAGACGGAAGCTGGTTGAGATGTGGTTTTGTTGTCAGGGCCCCTCAGAGAGCGTTTGTGGTTCTTGGCATCGGATTGTTTCAACTACACGACCGCAGCGTCTCATCGTGTCTCATGACGGTGCACTTAACCTGCCAGGGTGGGTTCAGTCTAGTGCGAGAAATTCCTGAGAACGCTGTTCATAAGAGCCACGTTAGGTCAGCTCTGTGGAACAACATCACACGCCTGCGTCAGAGATTCCCAACTTGCGGTTCTCTTCCCAGGAGATTTGTGGATTGTGGATTTGATTAATTAATTTGAATAAACAGAAATCAGGATTTGATTTTTAGAAGCAATTCTCACGAATTCACATGTTGAAGTTGTGTGTGTAGATGTAGAAAAATGAATGCTCAGATTGTGTGTGTAGATGTAGAAAAATGAATGCTCAGATTGAGGTAATGAATATTTGAAATCATTAATAGCAATGGGAAAATGGTTTAAACTAAAGGAAATGCAGGTTAAAAAGGGAAATAATCGAAAATATGAGCTAAAAGTGATGGTAAAAAAGGCTGAAAACACTTCACTAAGGTCATGGATTAAAGGTTGAAACAAATTTAAGAGAAATATTTGAATTAGAAAGCCAAAGGTGCTGGATAAATAAATAAAATGTACAACCTCAGCTGCTCCAGGTTGGTATTTTTATAAAAATGAATAGATTCACACAAAATCCAGTTTAAAATCAGCTTTAATTCACACATTTGGAGCACAATGTCATTGTTGAGCTCATCTGTGAAGGCCTGTGGGGTCAGAAAAGGTTGGATACCGCTGATCTGTTCAGGTGTTCAGTCCATTTACATTATAGTGTACGATTTTAAAACCTCCCCATGTCTATGAATATGCTAGGCCCTGTGCTGAAAACCAACAGCTTTATTTTTCTTTGTTTATCTGTTTGGATGTGTCTCTTTTTTCATCCCTCTCTCACCTCATTCCCTTCAGAACCCTGTTATCTTTTTTTTTTTCCCATCACTCTTCCTGCTGTTTTCTCCCTCCTGCTTTATCTTGGCTCTGTTGTCTTCATTTTTTTTTTCCACTCCTCCAACTTTTTTTTTTTTTCTCTCCTGCTTCTACTGTGTCATTTTCTCTCTTTATCATTCTGTCCTGCTTCTCTCCTCTCTGTCATTTTCATCTTTTACCCCCTCCGTCTCTCTCACCGCTACCACAAAATAAGGCAGACATTGTTTTGCGTGATGAGCGCGGCACCAAAAGTGAAATATCATTACCCATCTGATTGTTATTTGGATGTTTTAGAAATTTTGTTCGTTTAGGGGTTTTTTTTTTTTGTTGTTTTTTTTTCTGATTGAAAAAGCTTTCGGTTGCCAGCACTTTCACAAACACACAATGGATTGTTTTAATTTTGCACAACTTTCGCTTCATTCATTTGAAACAAGCTTGATAAAAGAGATGGATAGATGCCTTGCAGTGTTTCCATTAATGGAGTGAGCATTCATCACACTGCATGTCTAGCTTTTATATTGGGAGGCTGTAATGAATGAGAGTGAATCTGAGTAATGCCTTGTATTGGTGGTAATAGATGGGTTTTGTTGCACTCGTCAAGGCTTGTTTGTGAAGCCCCTTTTGAAAACACTGACAATAGAAAAGCATTTAGCCCTGCAAATAACAAAAGAGCCAACGTGAATCATTTCTAGGAGCCGGTATTATTAGCCCTAGTTTCTTCTTGCAGGCATTACAGTGCAGAGAGGTAAAAACACTGGGACCTTTACTTCTCTTTCATACCGTGATTGACATGGAGATGTCCTATATGGGCCTTCTTTAAAATTCCAACACCATCTCACATGAAACCATGTGTGAGATTGCCTTGTTATCACTGATCTCAGACCTATATTTTCCCATCTCTGCTCTCTTCTCCTCTCATCTCCCCTCTCCCGCTCTTTGGAGCTCACACCGTGTGGAGAAGGATGATGAATACCCAGCTATTCCAAAGCACACATGCTGGGGGTCCTTTTTTTTGAGGCCCGATCACCTCTCACACACACACACAATAACACACACACACACACACACACAGCAGCCACTATGCGCCGTCAGGATAAATGAACTACGATGCTGTGCCCCACTGTGCGGCCCACCTTAAGACTTAAAAAGTCTTGCATAACGACTTCCAACTTCAAAACTGAAATTGGATGCCTCTGTGTGCTGAGTCATCTGCTGTGTTTTTTCAGAGCTTTGACACGCCTCTGGTGCCTTAGATTTTTCTGTCTTCTTGCTTTTGCCTGTTTCAGCTGCTGCACGGTGCTGTAACCTCCACGTTTTATCTAGCGGATCACACAAAACATCCAAATTTATTACACTGAAGCACGTGTTTCTTTCGTGGCCGTGCCGTATTTCTGTATTTCTGCAGCTCCTTTCAGTACCATGGACAGCACTTTACAGCCACCAAACTTGTCTTTCGGTCACAAACGCAGCAAAACGTCCGTTGTTCTGCAGAAACAGGGTCAAAATGTTGACGCAGTTGCAGTTGTTGTAGTGTTCCCTTGGCTTAATCACCTTTGCCTTGGAAAAAAAAAACAACAAATCAATAGTTAAGTAGCTCGAGGCTCTTTATCATTATGTTGAGTAGTTATTGTTCAATTTTTTTTGAAATGATGAATTATTTGCTCAACAGGAAAATAGATTCAGGCAAAGGAAAATCGCCTCTGACTCATGCAACATGTTCTGCCCTCAGTGACTTTCACTTGCAATTTAAAATGTAGTTTTTGAGCAAAAAAAAAAAAAAAAACAATTTGCAGAGTCCCATTTAAGGCAATACAGTGTGTTCTTTTCATTTAGCTATTATTAGTCACACAAATCAGAGTACGTATTAATACCTCTTTTCACGTCGCGCAGCTGTTTATCATATCATAAAGCTTCCCTGCACAAACTGTTACCAGTATTGTTCGTTTTAATTTGACAGCAGAGCTTGACAGTAATGTGTTACCTGTTGTGTCTGGCTCCCCTGGTTGTCCCTTCATCCTGATTTCACCCAGCACCCTCTGCTGCTGAGGAGACTGCTTAGGAAGGATTAGACATTGTTTCCCTGACACCCAGGCCTCCCATCCCAACCCTCTGATTGGCAGACATAATCCCCCCATTCACTAAACCTTCGTTACCCTGTCTCTGGAATACGCCATGGTCCACTGCCTCCCCCTAGAAACGGGAGGGCTTGATAAGGGCCTGCTGGCTGCATTGCATTAAGCTGCGAAAATATGAATTTGGAATGCAATCGATTCAGGGCATCGTTTGAATAGAATGGGATGCAATTCAGAGTGGATATATCAAGTACATGGAGATGTAATATTGGTAGGGGAGGTGGAATGCTGTCAGGCTGGCAAGCAGAGAGTACTTGTACAGGGTGACAAGAGCATAGTGGTGACAGGCTCTGTCAAGTGGCCATAATGGCATGCTGTCATTTTCCTGGGAAGACAGCAGTGTGTGTTTGTGTAGGCAACGCACAACCCAGCACATGCAAATATACGTGTGCTGCTTGCTGCTAGAATCGACGTTAACTAGATTCCTTTTTTATATATATATATGTGTATGTAATAGAATTTTTGGCAATTTAAAATTAAAGGTTCAAACAGGGGGTGAAAAAAAAAGAGTGGAAATCTACAGTAATATTTCAGAAATGTCACTTTATGTCATTAATGGGTTCAGATAGAGCACATTGGGCCGTCATGTTCTCTCATTATGCAGCTGCATTAATCACGGGAGTTGTTTTTTTTCCCCCCTCCTCCCACTGTGGCTTTTATGACCTGAGTAGCACCTCTGCTTCAGTATCTAACAATAAACTTTGATTTCCTTTGTCTGTAGGATTTGTAATGTTCTTATAAGTCACCTAATATCCTTTTCCTCGTGCACGCAGAAGAATACTGAATTCATGAGCCATCAAAGGGTAATTGCCTATTATGTGTTGGACAAGCTTATTTGTGATTGTCATCTCGGTAGGAATTGTATATATTCGGCAAAGACTTGGATTTCCTTTTTTTTTTTTTTTTTTTTTTTGACAGACAGGAGAGAATAAGTCGCATGTAACAATGGAGTGTCACCTCTCTGCTCAGCCTACCTATACTGCTTTTAATATGGGATAAAAAACCCAGAACATCTGGGTATCACTTTCATTGTATTAGGCAGCTGATCCCTGACATCAGTTTATGAGTCTGTAATCTTCTGTCTCACACAATAGCGGACTAAACCATTTAACCCCGTCGGGAGGGGAGCCATGATACAGGAGAGAAAGCGAAACACGGCGCTACGCTAAAAAAGACTCGTGTTGCCAGCTACAGCCTCTAAGCTCCCTAAGACTTGCCCTGGTTTGGGAGAATACGCAGGCCTGTACCCCTCCCCCCCTCCTCTTTTTCCATCTTTGTCTCTCTAGTGAATTCAATTTTGTCTTCTCCAAGCGACAGCTTAAATGTAGACAATCTTATCAGTGGCTGTGCAAGCAGTGAGGGACGTGATTGAAACACCCCTGAAGTATTTCCAATGCAGACAAACCTTTCAGGAGTCTTAATTGTGTGTGTGTTTTTTTGTTTCTTCCCAGTCAAACACGCATGCACAAACACACAAAGACGCCGGCATTAGCACACCTTCCCCACCTAGATCTTCAGCAGCCTCCTCCTCACCCAGCTGTTCCACTATACAGACAATAATGCTGCGTGACAGCTGATCATAGCTTTAAAGGAGGGCTGCAGTTGTGTAGGATTTAATGTTTCGCTCTAATTTATTTATTGGGTGGAAAATACAGTAAAAAAAAAAATAAGAACAAGCTGTCACTGGAAGCCTCTGGTATGGCCAAGGTGCATTGTTTCAAGTTTAAGGAATCTGAATTCGCTGCAACACATTTGCTTCTTTCGGATGTATGTGGAAATAAATTCTTCTGCATGGTCCTGGCTGGTCGTTTGAAATGGTGGTTGAGGTTGTGTCTGTTTTCCTCCAGTCATACATGGAGGACCACTTGAAGAACAAGAACCGTCTGGAGCGTGAGTGGGAGGCGCTGTGCTCCTACCAGGCAGAGCCCAGCGCCTGCAGCGTGGGCCAAGGCGAGCAGAACTCCAAGAGGAACCGCTCTGACGCCGTGGTCGTATGTGAGTCCATTCAGACGTCCGTTAAGTGTCTTCTCTTTTTTTTTTTTTGCTGCTGTTGCTACTGCTATGAGAATGTTCAAACCATTTACAAAACTGGAGCAAAGCAGGGCGGGTCATGTAGCTCTCATCGCCGGTGTTGATGTATTTGTGAACAGATGCTCCAAAGAGGAACATAAAACCAGTTTGGGTAAACATGCCAACACAACACTGTAGAACATATGCTTCCAAAATGAACAAATAATCAGCGTTGGTGCTTCAGCCAAAGAGCTTTTCTTAAACTAATTTTTCCTGAAACCCAGTAAAGGTTTCTGGCATTGTAGTGAGACATTTCTCTGTATTGCAAATCAGCTTGCTACTTCTCTTGGATGATATTGACCGAAGGCAAAGGCCATGTTTTTAAGCGACTGCATCATTTTATTAGTTGTGTAAGAGAAATACCTGTTTGGCATCCAAGGCTCAGCTTAACCCTTTAAACCCCATTGCTATCTTTAAAAAATATCACCAAACTAACATCATTTATCGCTTTAAAAAAGCATAAAAACCTTAAAAATTGTTGGATTTTCAACTTTCTTATGGTTCTTGAATGAATCATGTGTTGTGTGCTCTTCCATTGGGAAAATTAACCAAATCTACGCATGGAATTGTGATATTTCATCAAAATCACTTTATATTACAGGTTTCACGTAATGTTTATATATATATATAGATAGATAGATACTATTGATCATTTGCTGCAACCAGATTCAGTAAAAAGCAAAAAATAAAAACAAAAAAGCACTTATTAGTGCGACTAGTGATTCAGCTGTGACCAACAGTCACGTGACAGAAATACAGGGACTAATTGACTGAACTGGGAAGAACTGCAGGCAGTGTTTACACAGAGCAGACAGGAGACAAGTAAAATTGTAAGCAGTAAAATATAAATATTATGTAGTGCTACATTTTTTTTTTTCAATATTTGGTACACCTGTGGGCTGTTGGAAAAATACTGCACATGTTGATTTCAGGTCTTTTCCATTTTGATAATAAAATAATCAAAGAAATTCCACCAAAGGATTAGTTTAATATATATATTTTTAAAACAAATATTTTAATTACATTGGTGCATTTACATTGAATTCATATTTCTGTCCATTAACCCTTACAGCTAGCTCTACTCTTCAACAGACAAACAAAGCTGGTCCCTTATTCCATTCACAGTATCCTGTCTTTCAGCATTATGTCATATATGTCACCATTATGTTCATATTTAGATCCCTTTTGCAGGGTTCTTGTTTTGAATTTAATCAGCTACAAGCATAAAAAAGTCAGAGATTTATTTTTGTTTATCTGTTTTAAGTCTAGACCCATGGTTTTTTTTAAAAAAATGTGCAGTAGTAAATCTAATCTACCCCCATTTTTGCTCTATGTGTGCTGCATGAGAAAGCTTGACAAGCATAGCAACAGTAACCACGTGTCACATGATTCCATCAACCAATCAGGATTTAGCTGCATTTGAATCAATGCGAGCACAGTTGGTGTGTTGCTTGGTTACTGTCAGTCATACCTGACCACACCCACACAGCCCTGACCGGCTTCTGAGGGTTAAACTCTTTGTAAATAATACATAAAGGATGTTTATTTCCTTTCATTTCTATTTATGCAGCCATGAATATGAGAAAATACATTAAACCAGGTTTTCACAGGCTTTAATTTTAAAGCAAATGCATTAAGAAGAGCACTGAAGCGGGATCAAGTTCATAGGAACGTGTTAATCTTGCAACAGTTTCACTTGTTTAAGAAAAAGCGGATTTTAAGATCACAACTCGCAGACTTCTTAAGATAAAATTAAATATTTTACTTGGAACATTCCTTAGTGAAGGTGAAGCAATTGAGGACTTTAGAACAGTGTGTGTGTGTGTGTGTGTGTGTGTGTGTGTGTGTGTATGATGAAAGCCCGGTGAAATTGCAGTCCCCGAAGCCATTTCAGTTTCATATTCCACTGTTGCTGCTCAAAATTCTGTTGTTATTGTGCAGGGAGGGGAAAACAGTGGAAACATGTACAGATGAATTATGCATCTCCATTACAGATGATCATTCCAGGATCACCTTGAAAGCAGAGAATAACCACGGCAACTCAGATTACATCAATGCCAGTCCAATAGTAAGTATTGTTTATTCATTATGGCTCTACATTTGGCTAATGTCTGTTGTTTCTGAAGCTTCTTCTTCTTTTTTTTTTTTTTTGTTGTACCTGTAGCACCTGTTGTGGTCGGTTTTCACTGTGAGATAAAAAGTAGTTTCAAAGGACTTGTCATTGATCCAAATGCATTGATCTTTTTTTAAACTTTGTTCTCCATGCTGGGAGCCTCAGTGGATTCGGTGTGTCTTGTTGAATCACATTGCTACTTTTACTGCTTTTCAAAATGGCTGCTCCCTTGAGGTGCCCCCC